AAATTACACAGTGGTGATTAATATGTTATCAAATGGTACGATAAAACAAGCTGCATGTGAATGTCCAGCAGGGTAGGTGACAACTGTTACTGTTACATTTCCTGTTTAGTGTTTCATACATACTGTTCATTCTTGTTAAGTTAAAATTTTTAGTTTACATAACAATAGGTGTTTATGTTCAAGTTTAGTTACAGAAATGTACTTTTTAATTTTTTTTTGCTATATTATTTTTTCAAGTGCCCGGTCGACTTCGAATAAAAAAAATCTAGACAAGAGGCACTTACCATGTCTCACACCTCAAAAAATTATACTTTATTGGTATTGGGTGCAGTTAAAAATAATTTCATTTCAATAAATTATATAGACGTCACGTATTATGTTGCAACTGTTTTGGGAATTATGATTTATTTCTAGGGTATATTGATATATTTTTATGGGAAGTATATTATGTTCCTGTGAACAAAAATTTTAAGATTTAAACTTGCATAACGTTGTTGACATATATTATTGAAATTAATAATAATTATATTATTATTTATTGCAGTAAAGGTATCAATGCACTTGGTAAGTGTAATCATGTTACGGCACTGCTATTTGCATTGGAAGACTTTTGCCGTAAAGGATTACATGAAAACGAAGACCCAGTTTCATGTACAAGTACCCTATGCCAGTGGACTAAGCCAACAACCCTGCAGACTACAAGTGCCCCACTACATGATTTGACAATAAGAAAATACCAATACAGTCAAGACCATAACAAGAAACCATCCATCAATCTATATGACGCCAGAGCACCACACCAAAGACACACTGATGGTGAAAATAGTGCTCTGCCATTCAGTGACGAGTATAACATTAACACTTCACACTTTCATGAAATTGTTAAGTTTGTGGCATCAAGGAATGCAAAATCTTTGTCAGAAGACAATATTAAAGCAATAGAAAAACAAACACGTGGTCAAGCAGGAAACATCGCCTGGCAGAATATCAGACGGATGAAAATGACTGCGTCAAATTTTGGAAAATTTGTCAAAAGAAGATGTGAGCCTGACAAGCTTCTGCATTCACTATTGTACAGACCAAGCTTTTCAACATATGCAACTGAATATGGTCGAAAGCATGAGGCAGATGGTGTTAATGCGTACCTCTCATACAAGCATGAAAATGGTAGTCCTGAATTACAAGTGCAAGAGGTAGGATTCACAATTTGTAGACACAATACAGATTATGGGGCAAGTCTGGACAGGATGGTTACAGATCCAACTGAGGATGTCCACACTGTAGGAGGCCTGGAAGTAAAATTTCCCCCCTCATATGTCACCTGAGGATGCTGCCAAAGAAAAGAACTCTTTTCTGAGTCTCAACAATGGTGTAATCATGTTGAAGAGATCCCATAATTATTATATACAAGTACAAGGACAAATGTATGCAGCTGGTTTACAGTGGGCAGACTTTGTAGTATGGTTTGGTGAGGGCTGTAATATATTTGTTCAAAGAATAAAATTCAATGAGGACTTGTGGTACAGTTATTTTCTACCAGCCCTTAATCATTTCTATTTTAGGGCTTTCCTTCCAGAAATATTAACCAGTCGAGTGAAAGAGGGATAAAAACTATATCGCCATGGGGGTT